CATTGTCTTATATGTTCAAAATTAACGAAAGCTCGACAAAAATCTAGTTTATGTTTACCATTACCACAAATACTCATTATTCAATTAAAAAGATTTACTTATGATATTCATTCAAATGATAAAATTGATACACATATCTCATTTCCTCTATATGAATTAGATCTTAAGGAATATTTAGTAAAAAATACTAATAATCAACACAAAAATGATTTATCAACAAAATATAATCTTGTTAGTGTTTCCAATCATACAGGTAGTCTCATATCTGGACATTATATAACATATGCAAAAAATGTTCAAGATGGTAATTGGTATCAATTTGATGATAAAGTTGTTAAAAAACTTAATAATGATAATGATATTGTTACTAAAAATGCATATCTACTTGTTTATGTACGAACAACTTGATAATAATAATCGACAGAATTCTTTGTAAAACTTTTATACTTAAATAAATACATAATTTTTTGTTTTTTGAGGATTGATAATTATGAAACATGTACAAATTGTATTCTATTTTATATAATAAATATTAATGTTTTTTCTTTTACTCATTAATTTTCTTAATATAAAGACATCAAAATTGAAAATAATGTAACACAAATGCATTATTAGATAAATAGTGTAGGTTGATGTTTAGTACTTCATGAAATGTTTACGAGTAAAAATATATCTAAATACTTGAATATATAGTATATATACTAATGAGTAAAACGATACTAATTATTGTCGACCAAGCCGTCATAATTCTATTTACTATTCAGTGCATTTCGTGGAAGAATATGTTTCCAAACACAAAGATTAAATATAAAAGAAGAAGTTTTCTATATATTGTTTTAGAATATTTTACTTACAAACTTTATAATTTTCTCTTTATTATGTTAGAGTTTGTTTTCTGCATAATGATATTGAATAGATTCTAAAATTATTCTTATTACTTTTATAAGTACGAACGATAGCATTGATTCCATTGTTTATGATTTAAAATTGACGTATGAAGGAAGAATATAGAAATTTAGATTTAATATCATTTGCTAATGAGTGTAGTTCACAAGTCTAAATCATTCATAAAAATCTATACGCTTCAACCAGACAATATCGATTTCATTTTTGTTTCAATTTTAAACTAATAGAAAATGATTTATCTTTGAACAATATTTTATTTGATTCAATCACATATTAATCTTTTTACATTTTGAAACATGTATCCCGCTTTGGTTACTTCTCTGAATAAGACGACTCTTTTTTTCTTCGCAAAATAGGACGTGGGTGGCATTCTTATCCCACACCCCACAGTTTTTGTTTTTTGTCTCGAACGCAACCATTATTTGTTAACGTTTTCTGAAGCATAAAGAGAAGGTCTTTGATGTGAATAATGGATTATCGAGGTAACAAATCTTATAAAAACGCGGAGAATACAGTGGCATTGTATACTAGATTTTTATTGGTATCATTTGATACTACTATACTACTATATAAATTCAAGAAATTCCTCAAACAAATACAACAAAATTAAGGTCATTCAACGAGTGTGTTTGTCGACCCGTAAATCTGGATTAGAGCAGCCAGACTCACTCTCATTCTCATTGCACACAAGTAAAATAGTTAAATAAAACAGTTGAGATATCAAGTATGTTAAACTGACAGAAACTATTTTTGTAGTAGCTTCTCGGGTGGCTTACCTTTTTTTAAAACTATGACTGACATAACAAACGTTAGATATCCAAACTCGTCATCAAACAGCAAATCTATTTTCGAATATTTCGTTTTTTTATTGTTCTCTTTCTCGTAGAGAAGAGTCCAGTAAACATAAATTGTCTGATTGCTTGCTTGCTTGCTTGTGTGTCCGCAGGGTCAAAAAAACATTGAAATTTAATTTTTCAGACACTTCCAAAAAATTTTGACTTGGGGGTAATCGAGGGCGGGGAACTTGAATCTGAGGTTAGTTTATTGAAACGAAGTAGTTAACAATTAGTTAATAATCAGTTAATAATTAGTATTATTATATGTTCGAGTAAAGTTTTACCGAAGGGTAATCGAGTATGGAGAATCCGAATCTGAGGTTATTTTTAGTTAACAATCAATTAATAATTAGTTAATAATTAATATTATTAATTTTTGAAATATTTTCGGAAAAGTTGGACCAAAAGGTAATCGAGTATGGAGAACTCGAATCTGAGATTGATTTATTAAAATTAATTAGTTAATAATCAGTTAATAATTGATATTATTAATTTTTGAAAATAGTTTGACCAAAGGGTAATCGAGTGCCAAGAATTCAAATTTGAGGTTAATTTTAGTTAAAAATCAATTAATAATTAATTAATATTATTGATCTTAAAGATAGTTCCAAGAAAGTTTTACCAGAGGGTAATTCGAGAATCGATTTTTAGAAAAGCTATTTTTGGGGCATTTCCATGCGGAGACTTCGAATCTGATGTTAGTTTTATAAAATAATTTTATGGATCACTTTTTTAGGGAGAGAACCAATTTTTATAAAAAAAACTGTTTCATAAGGGGTGACCGAAGGGTAAGCGGCAGGGGTGCTGCGTTCGCGTTCCTAAAGCGTTCCTTTAGAACGGAACGCGAACGTAATTATTATTACGTTTTATGGTATCCTTTGAACATATCGAGTTGTGTATACATGTTTTTTCATCTTTATATGCGAAATTAGTGTTCGTTCCCCATTCTTAGGAACGGGAACGGTATTCGATTTACTATTTTTTTGAAAGTAGAACGCGAACGACACTCTCCAGTCAAGTAATTAACCACGATTGCCTTACTTCTACTCACGTTCCCGTTTCTCGCAACGGAACGGGAACGCAGCACCCCTAGTAAGCGGGGTGGAAGAACACAAATCTGGTGTTAATTTTTCCAAACTGTATAAGCAAAAAGTTTAGTATTGTAGAATACGATTTCTACGAGAAAGAGCTGAGCGAGTCCGCAGACGAGCGTTACTTGTTTCATATTTTTATCTTTATTTCTAGATTTCCAATATCTTTTCTATTTTACATAAACTATCATACCTACCAAAATTGCGTAAACACATATTAGATTATACGTCAATTAAAACTTCATCAATTTCAACTGTGTACACGAAAAAAGAGATAAACAAGAATGCGTCACTTCCTTTATTTGTACACGTCGTCGTAATTATTTTTGAAAACACAATTCTGTATACGCAAATTAGACTATACGTCAATTAAAACTGCATCAACTTCAACTATGCATACGAAGAATAAGATAAACACGAATGCGTTACTTCCTTTATGTGTACACATCGTCGTAATTATATTTTTAAAAACACAATTCTGTATATGCAAATTAGTCTATACGTCACACAAAACTTCATCAATTTCAACTGCATATACGAAAAATGAGATAAACTAGAGTGCGTTACTTCCTTTATGTGTACACATCGTCGTAATTATTTTTAAAAACAAAATTCTGTATACGTATATTAGTCTATACGTCATGCAGAACTTCATTAGTTTTAATAGTATATACAAATGATGAGATAAAAGTGCATGATAATTACAGAGAACGGAAGTGAGAACGTAAATATATTCAAGGTAAGTTGTCGTCGTCAGTATAATAGTGATCGGTTTAAGGATAACTTTGCATGTTCACAAATACGCATGTGATATTTTTCAAAACAAAATTGTACATACATGTCCGTATTTATCAGTTAATCTTTTTTCTTGTCAGTTCACTGAAACACTACTGAGATATTTCGCTGTCTACTTGTTTATACACATTTCATAAATCTAATCAGCCAAATGAATTGTATTCAACTGTTCAAATCGTCGAGAATACTTTAATTTTTTTATTACATATAAGTTTTCGATGATTATTAGTGTCATTTTCCGTGATATAGAATTGTTATATACATTTTTCTTTGACAACTTCAATGATTTTAAAAAAGTAATTTTGATGTAATTGGTATTTCTCTTTGTATAAAGTTAATAATTGAATCTTTCTATTATAATCATTGTTTACGCAAATTAAAGTGTTGTTTTATAACAACTTTAAAAACTTACTATATTAAGAATATGTATTTTTTTTCTTGTATAAAGAGAATATTCTTGAGGATGTAGATTTAGGTGCTAAGTGAATACAGTATTTACACTCACCCTCACATTCACGCCACATAATGTAACGATTTTTTTATGGTAAAATAATATATACTGTCTACAGTAATTCAGAGTACTATTGCTGAAATCGCGAATAACCGCTGATATTTTTGCACATCACGATTTATCACTAAAAGTGCGGTGATTTTGACTACATGGATATATTCAGAAAAATACGCATTGTTTATTGTAATTTGTTTTATCATTAGATCCGTATAAGCTTTTGTACATTATTCTTTTTCATTTTGCATGAATATGTATAAAATTTCTCTTTATTGCTGATAAGTCATGAACAGAGTTATATTGCAAAGACTTCGTTGATCAATAGTTTCTAATTTATTTATATTTGTCATTCTATTACAAAAGAAGTGATGCATGCATACATTTGTATTCAGATTAGGAATTATCATAAATACTCTGATTCATCCTTATTTGAAACTTATAAGCAATGTAAAATTATGCATAATTTAGTGTTTTTTGTCGTTTGTTGATGATAAATGCACTTTTTTTACAAGTTTATCTCAGTTATCTACATAATGGCCATATATAGACTTTCAGCTAATATGAACGCTTCTTTTCACTTGCGTTTCTCAAATAACAAACATGACTCAAAACGTTTTTTCTACATCAAAACAGATAAAGCACTTCCGTTTTGCAAGCTAATTCAATGGTTAATCAATCGTAACAATATTCCATTAGTTTGTTTTTGCGTTCTTCACTTGTTGTTTTCATAACAACATCAAAAATAGTTAAAGCAAAAATATTTTTAAAGGAAGTAGACATCTATAAAACAAACTATTTTTGATCATTACTTCACTAATAGATTTTACATAACAACTTAAATCAAAAGCATTCACACAGTCAGCAATGAACAACCAAACATCAACAATAACTAACGGATGTGATGGCGCAATAAATACATTTCCATTTCGAGAAGATGCAAAAGGTCGTCGATTTATCAATATTCAATGTATGCAAAATGTTCTTCTTATCTGGTTAGACAGTAACATTAACGATACAAATGATGATTGCCAAAATACAATCAAACAACTGCAACGGGTTGTCAACGACATCAATACATTTACAGATGGTGATCAATGTCTTGATTTCATTCGAGAAATCAGTGACAAAAAGATATGTATGATCATATCTGGATTACTTGGACAAAATATTGTGCCTCGTGTGCACAGTATGTCCCAGATTGATTCAATATTTATTTTTCGTGATACTGAAAAACATCATGAACAATGGACCAAAGAATGGCCTAAAATAAAGGGTATCTACACAGGTATTACACATATCTGTGAAGCTCTTAAATCGGCAGCTCATCAATGTGAGCAAAACGCCATTCCGATGACTTTTGTGGGATTAAATAAAAAAGTGGATCAGTTAGATTCTTCTTTTATGTATACTTATCTCATTAAAGAAATATTATTGAGCATAAAATTCGAGCAAAAACATATTCAAGCTATACGGATTATTGTCGCGATGTTTTTGTTGATAATGAAGAAGAAATGGTTAATATTAAACGGTTTGAACGTGAATATCATGACAAAACACCAATTTATTGGTACACCTGCCATATGTTTCTATATCCCATGCTCAATCATGCATTACGAATGATGGATGGTGATATCATTAAACGAATGGGCTTCTTCATTAGTGATTTGCATAGACATATTGAGCAACTACACCGGAAACAATATCGTAGTAAAACGGCTGCTAACACCTTGACACTCTATCGTGGACAAGGTTTGTCTAAAGAGGATTTTGAGAAAATGATGAAAACTAAAGGTGGTCTGGTTTCGTTTAATAACTTCTTATCTGCCAGTGAAAACAGCAAAATTTCAATACGTTTTGCTCAAGATGCTACAATAAATCCAGATCAAGTGGGAGTTCTTTTTATCATTCACATTAATCCTACTCAATCAACAATACCCTTTGCTTCTATTACTGGTATAAGCGCTACTAAAACAGAAAAGGAAGTCATATTTTCAATGCATAGCATATTTAATATCCGCGATATTAAACAAATGTATGGAAATAATCGTTTGTATGAAGTCAACTTAACACTTACTGATGACAATGATCCACAAATAAATAGACTTACTGATAACATTCGAGAAGAAAACTTTCCGCAAAATCAGGGATGGTATCGATTAAGTTTGGTACTACATAAAATGGGTCAATTTGATAAAGCTGAACACATTTGTCAAGTTTTACTAGCACAAACAAAAGACTACGAACAAAAAGCACCTATTTATCATCAAATTGGGTCGATCAAAGATAGTCAAGGACAATACGATAAAGCGCTCACGTTCTATGAACAATCCATTGCTATCTATAAAAAAACTCTTCGTCCAAATCATCCCAAGTTAGCTCACTCTTACAATGACATTGGCGATGTGCACTGCAACATGGGCAACTATCCGCAAGCACTTTCATATTATAAGAAATGCCTTGAGATCTGTAAACAATCACTTCCTTCCAATCATCTTGATTTGGCTAAATCTTACAACAACATTGGTAATGTTCATTACAGCATGGCTGATTATCCGAAAGCACTTTCTTATTATGAGAAAGATCTCAAAATTCGACAACAATCACTACCTCCCAATCATCTTGATTTAGCGACGACCTATATTTGCTTTTGTGCGGCGCATTATCGAATGAGTAATTATTCGAAAGCACTTTCATATCAAGAAAAAGCTCTTGAAATTCAACAACAATCACTTCCTATCAATCACCCTGATTTGGCTGATTCCCACAACAACATTGGTGAAATGCATAGAAACATGGGTAATTATCCAAAAGCACTTTCATCTCATGAAAAGGCTCTTGAAATTAGACAACAATCACTACCTTCCAATCACACAGATTTGGCACATTCTTACAACAACATTGGTAATGTGCATTACAACATGGGTAATTATCCGAAAGCACTTTCGTCTCATAAAAAAGCCCTTGAAATTAGACAACATTCACTTCCTCCCAATCATCTGGATTTGGCTGGTTCTTACTACAACCTAGCTGTAGTCTATAAACACATGGGTAATTATCCAAAAGCACTTTCATTTCATGAAAAAGCCATTAAAATCAAACAACAGTCACTTCCTGCCAATCATCCTGATTCAGCTTCTTCTTACGCTAATATTGGTGATGTGCATTACAATATGGATGATTATCCCAAAGCACTTTCATCTTATGAGAAAGCTCTGGAAATCAGACAACAGTCACTTCCTCCGAACCATCCTGATTTGGCTAAATCCTACAATAACATTGGTAATGTACATTACAATATGGGTAGTTATCCGAAAGCACTGTCATCAAATGAAAAAGGTCTTGAAGTTCTACAGCAAACGCTTCCTCGCAATCATCCAGATTTAGCTCATTCCTATGCGAACATTGGTGTAGTGCACGATAGCATGGGAAATTATATCAAAGCACTTTCATTCCACGAAAAAGCCCTTGAAATTCGACAAAAACTAATTCCGCCCAATCATCGTGATTTAGCTGATTCCTACAGCAATATTGGTGAAACGCATAAAAACATGGGTAATTATTCGAAAGCAATTTCAGCTCATGAAAAAGCTCTTGAAATTCGAAAACAATCACTTCCTCTCAATCCTCGTGATTTGGCTGATTCCTACAACAGCATTGGTGAAATCCACAGCAACCTGGGTAATTATTCGAAAGCACTTTCATTTCATGAAAAAGCGCTTGAAATTAGACAGCAATCAGTTTCTCCCAATCGTCGAGATTTGGCTACTTCATACTATAATATTGGTGTAGCGTATAAAAACATGGGTAATTATTCGGAAGCACTTTCATCTCATGAAAAAGCCATTGAAATTCAACAACAGGTACTTCCTCCGAATCATCCTGATTTAGCTGTCTCCTACGCTAATATTGGTAATGTGCATTACGACATGAATGATTATACCCAAGCGCTTTCATCCTATGAAAAAGCTCTTCAAATCAGACAACAATCACTTCCCCCAGCTCATCATGATTTAGCTATGTCCTACAATAACATTGCTGATGTGCATTATAGCATGGGTAATTATTCGAAAGCACTTTCATCTAACGAAAAAGCTCTTCAAATTCAACAACAGTCGCTACCTTCCAATCATTTGGATTTGGCTCATTCCTACACAACCATTGGTGTACTGCATGACAGCCTTGGTAATTATCTCGAAGCACTTTCATTTTATGAGAAAGCTCTTAAAATTCGGCAACAATCACTTGCTTCGAATCATCCAGATCTAGCTGAATCCTATAATAGCATTGGTGAAGTGCATAAAAACATGGGTGATTATCCAAACGCACTTTCATCTCATAAAAAAGCCATTGAGATTCTGCAACAATCGCTTCCGCCCAACGATCGAGATTTAGCTCAATCCTATGGGAAAATTAGTGTAGTGTATAAAAACATGGGTAATTATCGAAAAGCACTTTCATCTTATAGAAAAGCCCTTGAAAACCAACAACAAGCACTTCCTCCCAATCATCTGGATTTGGCACATTCCTACGACGACATTGGTGCAGTGCATTATAGCATGGGTGATTATTCAGAGGCACTCTCATTTCACGAAAAAGCCCTGGAAATTAGACAACTATCACTTCCTACCAATCATCGAGACTTAGCTGATTCTCACAGTAAAATTGGTGAGATGCATAAAAATTTGGGTAATCATTCGAATGCACTTTCATCTCATGAAAAAGCTCTTGAAATAAGACAACAATCACTTCCTTCCATTCATCCAGATTTGGCTGCTTCATACTACACCATTGGTGTACTACATAAAAACATGGGTAATTATTCGGAAGCACTTTCAGCCCATGAAAAAGCGCTTGAAATTAAACAACAATTACTTCCTCCCGATCATCCTGATTTGGCTTCTTCCTATGGAAATATTGGTAATGTGTATTACAACATGGATGATTATTCTAAAGCGCTTTCAGCTTATGAAAAAGCTCTTGAAATCAGACAACTGTCACTTCCACCCGATCATCCTAATTTTGCTATGTCCTATAGCAATATTGGTAATGTACATTACAATATGGGTAATTATCAAGAAGCACTGTCATCTAATGAAAAAGCTCTTGAAATAAGACTACAATCACTTCCTCCCGATCATCCGGATTTAGTAGGATCTTATTACAACATCGGTGTAGTCCATGATAGCATGGGTAATTATCCTGAAGCACTTTTATTTCAAGAAAAAGCCCTTGAGATTCGTCAACAATCACTTCCATCAGATCATCCAGAATTGGCTGATTCCTACAACATCATTGCTGAAGTGCATAACAGCATGGGTCATTATGCTGAAGCACTTTTATTTCACGAAAAAGCTTTGAAAGTTCGGCAACAATCACTGGCTAACAATGATCCTGACTTGGCTACCACTTACTACAACATTGCGGTAGTGTATAAAAATATGGATAACTATCCGGAAGCACTTTCATTTGATGAAAAAGCCCTCGAAATTCGGCAACAATCACTTCCTGCCAATCATCCGGATTTGGCTAACTCTTACTACAACATCGGTGTAGCCTATAAACACATGGGTAATTATCCAAAAGCACTGTCATCTCATGAAAAGGCCCTTGAAATTCGACAACAATCGCTTCCACCCAGTCATCCGGATTTGGCTTCCTCCTATGTAAATATTGGGAATATAAACTACAACATGGACGATTATCCTAAAGCACTTTCATCGTATCAAAAAGCTCTTGAAATTAAACAGCAGTCACTTCCTCCGAATCATCCTAGTTTGGCTAATTCTTACATCTGCATTGGTTTAGTTCATTACAATCCGGGTAATTACTCGAAAGCACTGTCTTATTATGAAAATGCACTTGAAATTCAAGAACAATCGCTTCCTGCCAATGATCCTGATTTAGGTTATTCCTACAGCAACATTGGTAATGTGTATAACACGATGGGTAATTATCCCGAAACACGTTTTTATTGTGAAAAAGCTCTGGCAATTCGACAACAGTCACTTTCTCCGAATCATCCGGATTTGGCTGATTCCTATAACAATATAGGTGTAGTGCATTACAATATGGGGAATTATTCCGAAGCACTTGCATCTCATGAAAAAGCTTTTGAAATTAGACAACATTCCCTTCCTCCCAATCATCCTGATTTAGGTATATCGTATAACAACATTGGTAATGTACATTACAAGATGCGTAATTATCCGAAAGCACTTTTATTTCATGAAAAAGCACTTGACATTCAACAACAATCGCTTCCTCACAATCATCCTGATTTGGCTGGTTCTTACTGCAACCTTGCTGTTGTGTATAAACACATGGGTAATTATCCGGAAGCACTTTCATCACATGAAAAAGTCCTTGAAATCAAACAACAATCACTTCCTCCCAATCACCCTGATTTGGCTACTTCCTACGGTAATATTGGTAATCTGCATTATAACATGGAAGAGTATCCCAAAGCACTTTCATCTTATGAGAAAGCCCTTCAAATTAGACAGCAATCGCTTCCACCCGATAATCCTGATTTGGCTATGTCCTACAACAACGTTGGTAATGTGCATTACAACATGGGTAATTATCCCGAAGCACTTTCATCAAATGAAAAAGCTCTTGAAATTCGACTACAATCACTTTGGCCCAGTCATCCGGATTTGGCTCATTCCTACGCGAACATTGGTGTAGTGCATGACAGTATGGGTAA